CAATAAAATGGCTTAACAATCTCTTTCTTTTGGATGAGACACTGAAATCACTGCCAACAAATACAAATATAAACATGAGAGACTAAGGACAACATTAGCGCCTCTGTGCAGGAGAGAACAAATGAATCCAAAGAGAAGGCATCCTAGATCGGGTATGGGGGCTCACGAGATCAGGAGTTTGAGACCAGCCTGGCCAACATGGTGAAACCCTGGCTCTAGTAAAAATACAAAAATTAGCCGGGCATGGTTGTGCACACCTGTAATCCTAGCTACTCAGGAGGCTGAGACCGAAGAATTGCTTGAACTCAGGAGGCAGAGGTTGCCGTGAGCCAAGACTGCCCCACTGCAACTCCAGCCTGGGTAACAGAGCAAGACTCCATCGGAGTCTGGTGCAGGGGAAGGGGGAGGAGAAAAAAAACAAAAAAGAACAGCATCCTAAAGGTGAGAAGAAAGTTTGAGGAAACATATAGTCGATAAGGCATTGTTTTCCAAAAGGCACAAGCTACTAACGTTAGTAACTAGCAAAAAAAAAAATAAAATAAAATAACCAAAAGCGAAACGAGGAACCGATCCAAAACTGGGCAAAGAGCCTGAATAAACTTTTCGCCAAAGAAGACATAAGACTGACTCTATCTTTATGAAAACGTGGTTAACACTCCTAATCCTGCACAAAACGGAAATCAAAACCATACACAGAAAGCATCTCACTTATTCACACGAATATGACAAACAAAAATACAAACACAAATGCTGGTGTCAATTGCCAGGAAAAAAGAAGTGTTTATGGGAGGGTCAATTACTATCTACACTCTGGAAAGCAGTTGCAGATTCTTCAAAAAAACTGAAAGTACAATACCATATGATCCCACTACTAGATATACAGTCAAAGCAAACCAGGATTTTGAACAGACATCTGCCTTTCCATGTCTATTACATCACTATTCACAATAGCTAGGATGATGGAATCCACCTACCTGTTCACCCACAGATGAAGGGATAAAGAAAATATAGTACTTACATACAACAACATATTCTCCAGCCATAAAAAATAATGCAATTTTCATTTAGGGCAACACCAATGAACCAAGAAAACATTCTGTTAAATAAGCCAAGCACAGAAAGACAAACACTGCATGACCTCACTCACATTGAATCCAAAAACTTAACCTTCAAGAAGCAGAAAGAACAGGAGTGGTCTCCTGAGGCTGGGGAAGGAGGAGAAATAGGAGGGATTGGGGATGGAAACAAAGTTACATTTAGTTGGGAGGAACACATTCTAGAGTCCCCTTCCACAGCTGCGTGACTCTGGTTAGAATGTTGTTTTGTATTTTCCAGAAAAAGCTAGAAGGGAACAATTTTGAGTGTTCTCACCACAAAGAAATACCTGTATGAGGAAATAGTTATGCTAAGTACCCTGATTTGATTATCACCCAAAATATACATGTATCAAAATGGCCCAGATGAGGCTGGGCAAGGTGGTTCATGTGTGTAATCCCAGCACCTTGGGAGGCTGAGGGGGGTGGATCATCTGGGGCCAGAAGTTCGAGACCAGCCTGGCCAACGTAGCAAAACCCGATCTCTACTAAAAAATACAAAAATTAGTTGGGCATGGCAGTACACACTTGTAATTCTAGGTACCTGGATGGCCAAGGCACAAAAATCACTTGAACTTGGGAGACAAAGGTTGCAGTAAGCCAAGATCATGCCACTGCACTCCAGCCTGGGCAACAGAGCTGAACTCTGTCCCAAAACAAACAGAAACAAAAATGAAAAAGTCCCAAAAAAAGTCCCACTATACCCTCTGCTTATGTGCCTTATTATAGACAAAACATTTAAATAGTATAGGCCAGGCGCAGTGGCTCACGCCTGTAATCGTACCACTTTGGGAGGCTGAGATGGGCAAATCACGAGGTCAGGAGATCGAGACCATCCTGGCAAACATGGTGAAACCCTGTCTCTACTAAAAATACAAAAATTAGTTGGGCATGATGGCCCATGCCTGTAGTTCGAGCTACTTGGGAGGCTGAGACAGGAGAATCACTTGAACCTGGGAGGCGGAGGTTGCAGTGGCCGAGATCACGCCACTGCACTCTAGCCTGGGCAACAGAGCGAGATGCCGTCTCAAAAAAAAAAAAAAAAAAGTGGGCGGGCGCGGTGGCTCACGCCTGTAATCCCAGCACTTTGGGAGGCCCAGGTGGGCAGATCTCACGAGTTCAGGAGATCGAGACCATCCTGGCTAAAAAAAAAAAAAAAGTGGGCGGGCGCGGTGGCTCACGCCTGTAATCCCAGCACTTTGGGAGGCCCAGGTGGGCAGATCTCCAGGTCAGGAGATTCAGACCATCCTGGCCAACATGATGACACCCCGTCTCTACTAAACTACAAAAAAAAAAATTAGCCAGGCGTGGGGGCGCGCACCTCAGTCCCAGCTAGTCGCAGCTACTCGGGAGGCCGAGGCAGAGGAATCGCTTGAACCCGGGAGGTGGAGGTTGCACTGCAGCCTAGTGACAGAGCAAGACTTCATCTAAAAAAAAAAAAAAAAGTGTAAATACACAATGTTAATATTAACATGGAACCACAAACAGCCTTGAACATCTAAGGAATCCTGAAAAATGCAAACTAAGTTGGGAGACTCACAATTCCTGATATCAAATTGCGTTTCAAAGCTGAAGGTGGCCAATATTCCAACACATATGGTCATGTGATTTGCTACTGTGCTCTGGCTTGGGTGAGGGTGACATCTCAAAAAAGAGAAAGATGAGCCGGGCGCAGTGGCTCACGCCTGTAATCCCAGCACTTCGGGAGGTCGACGCTGGCGGATCACGAGGTCAGGAGATTGAGACTATCCTGGCTAACACGGTGAAACCCCATCTCTACTAAAAACACAAAAAATTAGCCGGCTGTGTGCTGGCGGGTGCTGTAGTCCCAGTTACTCGGGAGGCTGAGGCAGAAGAATGGCGTGAACCCACGAGGTTCAGCTTACAGTGAGCCGAGATCACGCCACTGCATGCCAGTCTGGGGAACAGAGTGAGACTGTCTCACAAAAAAAAAAAAAAAAAGAAAGAAAATGATTGGGACAAAATAGGAGGGAATCACAGAAGAGATAACTGGTTGTTACAGAACACGTGCACAGAAAAAAAAATACTACGTAGCATGAAAAATGTCTATCCAAACTAAAATTCGACAAAAAATCTCAACAGACATCGCTGTATAAACGACATAAAATGCACAAACACGTAAGAAAAAAGGTCCTCAACGTTATTATTCATCAGAAAAGAATGTACTCCAAAATCATATTCAGATACCATCCCACACCTACTGGAATACACATTACTGAAAATATCTTAAAAATTAAAAAGAATGCTGGTGTGGATTTGGATAAAAGGGAATCTTATACACTATTGCTGTAAAGATAACTTAGGATACACAGTATGGAAAAAAGTTGTAAGCCGCATGCGGCAGCTGACGCTTGTAATCCCAGCACTTTGGGAGGCTGAGGCAGGCGGGTCATCAGGTCAGGGAATCGAGACCATCTGGTTAACAAGGTGAAACCTCGTCTCTGCTAAAAATACAAAAAATTAGCTGAGTGTGGTGGCACGCGCCTGTAGTCCTAGATACTCAGGAGGCTGAGGCAGGAAAATCGCTTAAACCCGAGAGGCGCACATTGCAGTGAGCCAAGATCGTGCCACTACACTCTAGCCTGGGCGACAGAGTGAGAGTCCGTCACCAAAAAGAAAAAAAAAAGTGGTAGATTCCTCAAAAAAACTGAAAATGCAACTACCGTATGATCCAGCAATCCCACTACTGGGTACACCTCCAAAGCAAATGAAAACCGTATCAGAGATCACAAAGCCTCAATGGGGATAAGAGATTTTCTTCATTAAATGGTTTTGAGAAACCAATGTTTATATGAAAAAGAATGAAATAGGACCCTTCTGGTATACAATACACAAAATTCAACTCAAAATGGATTGAAGACCTAAACACAAGACCTGAAATTATACATCATCATCATCATCTGTAAGAAAAAAGGGGGTGGGGGAGCTGGTGGAGCACTTAGTTTTGGGGAAACTTGCCTCTAGGCTCACAGGTTGGAAACGGGAAAAGAAAAAACGGAAAAAAAAAAGAAAGCAGAGGGTAAAACCTCATCGAGAATGGAATGGCTTGTGAATATATTTATCGTTTAAATTGGGAAAGCGAATCATAGGTAACAAAAGCAAAAACCACCATGTGGGGCTACATCCAACTGGAAAGCTTCTGTACAGAAAGAAAACAGTGAACCAAATGAAAAGCAATCCTACAAATGGGGAAAAAGTTTGGGGGAAGCATGTATCTCCTAAGGGGATGTTATAAAAAATATGCAATAGTTTCACAATGCTCAACAGCAATAACAACAACAAGATCATCAACCCCAAACTGGGCAGGGCCCAGCACAGACATTTCTGCACAGGGGACATAACAACACTGAGCAGCATGGACAGAACCAGGTCCTCAGCATCGCCATCACCAGGGACAACTCCCCGTCAGGCTCACACCCGGGTGTCCCTCCCTCCCGGTCAGGTGGTCGTGCCCAGAGGGACAGAAGGGGACACAGGCTTCCCTGAAGGCCAGGGGTGGGGGATGAAAGAGTCCCAGACACGATGGCGGGAAGGCAAATTTAAAAATTCATCAAATCCTGGAGGCAGCTGGGATCTTTCCTCCTCCGTCTGAAGCCTGGCCAGGAGGCAGCCAAACACCCAGGCCTGGTCCCAACTCCCACCTGGGCCGGGCTTCCCCTTCCTCCTGGGGCTTTCCTCTCTCCCCATCTATACGGGACAGGTTCCCTCAGAAAAAGTCCTCGAACCCTAAAAATACCACAGTCTGCTACACTTGCCACCCTCAAAAGCCCTCAGGAAACAAAACCCATGGTAAGACAAATACCAGAATACCAGAAGAGAAAGACAAGAACTATTGAGAAGATGAGAATAGACGGAACGTTTCAGAAAACAAGCTTTTGTACTCACCATGTAGAAAAAATGCCTGGGAGAAGCTGAGTAGCTCGCAGCCCCCGCCTAAGCAGTCAGGGCCACAGACAGGAGCTGTTTCCTCCCCAGGACGAGTCTCCAAGTCATCCCCACGCCGCTGTGGTGCCTCCTCAAGCAGGTCCTGAAGGAACCAGAGACCCTCTCCTTCTACTCAATATGGACGCCAGGCCACGCACAACACGCAGCGTCTGTGGTGAGAACACGCATGCGCACCACGTGGGGCAGAAAAGGCTGCTTCAGCGCCCCCTGCCAGTCACAGTGCACAGTGCAGGATGATCAGCCTCATGGTCTGCATCACCCCAGGCCAGTCTAGGTAAGGTAGAAGGGTGGGTTGTGGGACACCAGGGGCAGGAACTCCCCAACCCATGCATGTGAACCTCCTGCTGTGAAGTTCCTTTTTTTTTTTTTGGACAGGATCTCACTCCGTCGCCCAGGATGAAGTGCAGTGGTGCAATCACAGTTCACTGCAGCCTCAACCTCCCAAGTGATTCTTCCATCTCAGCCTTCCAAGTACCTCCGAATCTGGTTGCTCCATGTTGCGTGCATATGTATTCAGAATAAGTAAGTCTTCTTGTTGGAATGTACTCTTTATAACTGTGTAATGGCCTTCATTATCCTACTTAATTTTGATTGTTTTAAAGTCTGTTCTATTTAATTTTAGAATAGCAACTCCTAGCCAGGCACGGCGGCTCACACCTATAATCTCAGCACTTTGGGGAAGCCAAGGCAGGTGGATCACCTGAGGTGAGGAGTTCAAGAGCAGCCTGGCCAACATGGTGAAGCCCCGTCGCTACTAAAAATACAAAAATTAGCTGGGCATGGTGGGACACACCTGTCATCTCAGCTACTCAGGAGGCTGTGCCAGGAGAACCGCTTGAACCCGGGGGGTGGATGTCACAGTAAGCCAAGATCACGCCACTGTGCTGCAGCCTTGGCGACAAAACAAGACTCCATTTCAAAAAAGGAAAAAAAGAAAAAAAAAGAAAAAAAAATAGCAACTCCTGAGCCAGATATAATGGCTTATGCCTATAATCCCAACACTCTGGGTGGCCGCAGCAAGTGGATCATTTGAGCTCATGAGTTTGAGACCAGTATGGGCAAACTGGTAAAAATGCATCTCTACCAAAGAGTAGGAAACTTAGCCTGGTGTGGAGGTGTGCACCTGTAGTCCCAGCTACTGGAGAGGCTGAGGTGGGCGGATCACTTGAACCTAAGTGGTTGAGGCTGCAGTGAGTCATAATTATAACACTGTACTCCAACCTGGGCAACAGAGTGAGACACTGTCTCAATTAAAGAAAAAAAAAAAAAAGAAAAGAGAGAATAGCAAGTCTTATCTTTTTTTTCTTTTTGGTTTGCATGGCAGACACTTCTCCAACCCTTTACTTGGAGCCTGTGAATGTTGTCACATGTAAGATGACACTTGAATATGGTTGAGTCTTGTCTTTATATCCAGCATATCCCTAATCAAAGATTTAAATGTATGACCTCAAACCATAAGAGCTCTACAAAGAAGAAAACCTAGGAAATACCGTTCAGAACATCAGCCTTGGGGAAGAATTCATGACGAGGTCCTCAAAAGCAATTGCAATGAAACCAACTGTGACCTAATTAAACTAAAGAGCTTCCACGCAGGAAAAGAAACTCAACAGAGTCAACACCCAACCTACAGAATGGGAAAAAATATTCACAAACTGCATCTGACAAAGGTCTAATATCCAGAATCCACAAGGAACTTTCAACAAATCCAGAAGCAAAAAGCAAACAACCCTGTGAAAAAGTGGGCAAAAGATGTGAACAGGCATTTCTCAAAAGAACACATACAGTCACCCAGCAAACATAGGAAAAAATGCTTCACATCACTAATCATCAGAGTAATGAACATTGAAACCACCATGAGATACTATCTCACACCAGTCAGAATGGCTATCACCAAAGTAAATAAATAACAGATGCTGGCAAGGCTGTAGAGACAGGAGAACACTTGTACCCTATTGGTGTGATTGTAAATTTGTTCAGCCATGATGGAAAGCAGTTTGAAGATTTTTCAAAGAACTTAGAAAAGAACTACCATTCAACCCAGCCATCCCATGACTAGGTATATCTGCAAAGGAAGTTACATCATTCCAAAAGAAAAGACACTTGCACCTGTATGTTCATCACGTGAAGGGACAAGCGCTGAAAATCCACCTATTATGTCGTACCTGCATGCTACAGATCATCCATACCCCAAACCTTAGCGTCGTACAATATCCCCACGTAACAAACCTGCACATGTACACCCCATGAATCTAAAGTGAAAGCTTTTAAAAATCTCATAGGATTCATCAGAGGAATTATCAAGTTGAGTCCATCCATGCCCCATTCAAAATCCATACCACATTCAAAGTAGAATGAAAGAAGGATACTGAAGGTTCTCACCACAAAGGAATAAACAATGGGAAAAGGTAACAGAAACACTAAATACCCTGATTTCATCATTCCACAATGTATCCGTGGACCATAACGCCCCACTCTACCGTCTCACTGTATTGTTCTTTTACTATGCAACACATTTATTGAAAGAACTATAAATACATGATGCTAATATTCACGTGGGACCATAAAGGGCCCTGAGTTTCGTCCTCAGCAATCCTGAAACATCCAGACTACACTAGATATATCACACGCCCCAATTTCAAATTTCATGGAAAAGCAAGGGACCCACTTCCACACAGAGTAGAGGAATGCAAGAGAAGACCAGGAAGTAAAACCACACACTGAAAACTATCTGATCTAACACAGAATCCACAAAAGCAAGCAAAGGGAAAAGGACACTCTATTCAATCAACAGTGCTGAAGTAAGTAGCTAGCCATGTGCAGAAGAGTAACACTGGGCTCCTATCTCTCACCAGACACAAAGAGGAACTCAAGATGAATGAAAGATTTCAATATAAAAGCTCAAGCTGTTAAAATCTTACAAGAATATTTGTGAAATATCCTTCTCCACGTAGGCTTTCGCAAAGCATTTAGATGGTGAAATCCTGAAGAGCAACGGCAACAAAAACAAAAACTGACAAGGCACACCTAGTATCTCAAAGAGGTGCTGCATAGCAAGAGAGACTACGCAGAGTAAACAGACAGCGCACAGAATGGGAGAACACGTTCCCAAACTGTGCATCTGACCAATGTCCAACATGCAGAATGTACAAGGCCCTTCAACAAGTCAACCACGGGAATAAACAGAAAAAGAATATCCCATTAATAAACGGGCAAGGGACGTGAACACACACTTCTCAAAAGTCGATGTGCAAGCAACCAACAAATAGGAAAACATGCTCAAACTCATTCATTGTCAGAGAGCTGCCAATCAAAAGCATGATGAGATGCCATCCCACGCAGGTCACAGTAGTGAGGACCACGCAGGCAAAGAATACACGCTGGTGAGGCAGCCGAGGAAAAGAAACGCTGGTACGTTTTCGGGGTGGGGGGATGAAAACTAGTACAGACACCATTGAAAGCAGATCGGGGATTTCTCAAAGAGCTGCAAACAGAACTACCATCTCAACCAGTAAGCCCACTCCTGTGCATCTACCCAAAGGAAAATCAATTCTTATATCCAAAAGACACAGGCACTCGTATGTTCATGGCCATGTTATTCACAATGTCAAAGACACAGAATCAACCCAGCCATCAACAGTGGATGAGAGGCCGGCACAGTGACTCACACCTGTAATTCCAGCACTTTGGGAAGCCGAGGCAGGTGCATGGCTTCAGTGCAGAATTCGAGACCAGCCTGGGCAAAATGGTGAAATCCCATCTCTACAATAGTACAAAAATTAGCTGGATGTGATAGCGGGCACCTGTGATCCTATCTAATCCAGAGGCTGAGGTGGGAGGATCACCTGAGACCAGAAGATGGAAACTGCAGGCCACTGTCATGAGTGAACTAAGGCCCAAATAGAAAACCAAAAGCCACATGTTCTCATTCATAAGCGGAAGCTAAACTTTGCATGCACTCAAACATAGAGAAGAGAACAACAGACACCTGGAATGACCACCAGACAAATTAAAAAAAAAAAAGAGAGGGAGTGTGTGCTGAGGACGCAACGGTTGGCCCTCTGCTCACTGTGTTATGGGGTTTTTGGGACCCAAGACAGCGTCATGCAATCAACAGATATAACTAACTTGATTATGTACGCTTTAAACTATAATAATAAGAACAAAAAGCGTGAAAAAAAAAATCCAAGGTAACACTGGGCACTGTGGCTCATGCCTGTAATCCCAGAACTTCGGGAGACCAAGGTGGGCAGATCACAAGGTCAGGAGTTCAAGAGCACCCTGGCCAATATGGTGAAACCCTGTCTCTATTAAAAATACAAAAACTAGCCTGGTGTGGTGGCATGCGCTTGTGGTTCGAGCTACTTGGGAGGCAGAGGCAAAAGAATCACTTGAACCCGGGAGGCAGAGGTCGCAGTGAGCCACGATCATGCCACTGCACTCCAGGCTTGGCAACAGAGCAAGACTCCACCAAAAAAAACAAAATAAAAGAAATGAAAAAAAAAAAAAAAGATATAAAGAAAAATCCGGCCGGGCAGCGGGTGCTTCAAGCCTGTAATCCCAGCAACTTTGGGAGGCCGAGCGGGGCGATCCACGAGGTCAGAGAAGATCGAGACCATCCTGGAGTTTAATACGGTGAAACAACCCATCTCTACTCAAAAGTCAAAAAAACTAGCCGGCCGACC